CATGCCTGAGGCCCTGGGTTCAATTCCTCAGCACCACATAAGCAAAAAGAAAAAAGCCGGACGTGGCGCTGTGGCTCAAGTGGTAGAGTGCTAGCCTTGGGCTGAAGAGCTGAGGGACAGCGCCCAGGCCCAGAGTTCAGGCCCCACGACCGGACCCCCCCAAAAAAAAATAAACATAGTTCCCCTCAACTTGTTTTATGGGTTTACCAAGATGGGACAGGGTCTGGGGCAGGGTAGAAGCAATGATGTCACAGAGGGGACTACCCTAGCTTGCCTCCTTAACTTGGCTAGGTTTAGTCTAGTTTTTACTCTCAGATGTCATTGGTGGTGTTCTCACCTGGTTTAATATGAGGGAGTCAGGAGGGATCTTAATATATGGTTCTTTCCCTTATTTGACACACCTTTATGCTTTGTTAATTAACAGGAGCTTGAAGAGATCCGCAAATGTGGAATGAAAAACTTCCGTAACATCCAGGTTGATGAAGCTAATTTATTGACTTGGCAAGGGCTTATTGTTCCTGTGAGTATTGAACACTTCCACTTCTTATCAGATTATTATTTCAGGTGGTGTGCTGCTGGTGCTACTAAGTAGCTTAAAGTCTGGGCAGCCCACAGATGCACAGAAGTGGGTTATAGCTCCAGAGTGACAGGATAGGGTGTAGCCTTGGGCTCTTGAGTAGAATCATGGCTTAGCATTGGTTTTCTATAATTCTAGGAGTCTTCAAATGTTCAGATCTGGGCATCAGATCTGGTATCAACACATAAGAAGTATGTATCCATGCTCTGCTTCTCTCTCATCTTTCCTAACTTCTGGATGCCCTGTTTATCAGGAGAATATCTCTTACTCTTGGGAGAGGATCAGCAGTCCCATCTAGAGCTTTTGCTTTCCCCGTTGATTTTGCATCTGTGTCTCTCACTTCTGGACACTTTTATTCTGGACTTAACCCTTGTTACCCTCCAACATGTGACTTCAGTTTATCTTAAATCCCTATTCCCAATTACCTACTTGTTCCCCTCACCCAGTCCCTTTTCTAGTGCTTGTACTTCCACTGTTTGCCTCTCACAGTCCCAGTTCCCTTTGCAGAGACTTCTGCCTTTGGACAGGCTTGGGTTTCTCCTAAATGAAGAGCTTCACTGCACTCAGCCTCAGTACTTACTCTCTTGATTTTGTGTCTCCTCTGTTCCCCATCCTTTGATTTCCCTCATCTTTCCAGAGATTTGCCCCGTACTTAACTGTTGTGCAGTGCTCATTTTTCCTATTCTCCTGAAAATGCTTCATCTTAATTATGCAAGTGCCTCTCAGTTACACACCTGATCCTTGCTTCCAGAACTTTGAGCTTTTGGTAATGTAGGCCTTGGGCCTGTAACCAATTTGCTGTTTGGTGGCCTACTGGTGCTTTTCCCTCTTAACTTGAGTTTTGTAAGTCTCATTTTTCCCTCCTTCATTTTGTCTCTGGAAACAAACATAACAGCATAATAGCCATCATATTGTATAAGGATTTTTACCCCTCTGTCTCCATTCTAACTTTATATCCCAGAGTTGTACTGTTGGTTCACCAGGTGGCTTCACTTGGATGTTGCATAGCCTTCTGTTTGAGTTCACTTGACCTTCTATTCCTTTTTTTTTTGTCAGTTGTGGGGCTTAAACTCTGGGCCTGGACACTGTTCCTCAGCTCTTCAGCTCAAGGCAAGCACTGTACCGCTTGAGCTACAGCGCCACTTCCGGTTTTCTAGTGGTTTATTGGAGATAGGAGTCTCAAGATCTTTCCTGCCCCGGCTGGCTTTGAACCGAGGTCCTCAGATCTCAGCCTCCTGAGTAGCTAGGATCACAGGCTTGAGCCACTGGCACCCGGCTCCTTCTCTTCCTTTCTTGTTATTCCACCTCTTCGTATCTTCTTTCACATTTCCTTACTTTGTCTGCCCGAGCCTCAGGCCTTCTCCCAGTGCCTGACACTATCCACTATCCTGCCATTGTTAACATAGAATGTTTCACAAGGGCAGGTTGATTCCTTTGCTGAGTTAGAGTACATGCTTGCTTACTGAACACACTACTACTACGATGACTACTACTACTACTTTCTTCTTTTTTTTTTTTTTTTGTCCGTCATGGGGCTTGAACTCTGGGCCTGGGCACTGTCCCTGAGCTCTTCAGCTCAAGTCTAGTGCTGTACCACTTGAGCCATAGCACCACTTCTGGCTTTTTTTTCCTGCTTATGTGGTGCTGAGGAATTGAACCCAGTACCTCATGCATGCAAGGCAAGAACTCTATCTCTGAGCCACCTTCCCAGCCCTATACTCAGATTTTTTAAAATGTGGGGGCTTCCTGTTTTGTTTTTTGTTTTATTTTTGTGCTGATTTGGGAGCTTGCACTCAGAGCCTGGATGTTGTTCCTAAGTTTTTTTTTTGTTTTTTTTTTTTGGGGGGGGTCCAGTCGTGGGGCCTGAACTCTGGGCCTGGGTGCTATCCCTCAGCTCTTCAGCTCAAGGCTAGTGCTCTACCACTTGAGCCATAGCA